TTTTTTTTTTTTTTTTTGTCTGTTTACTAGGGTTGCTCTTTGAACATGTGTATGTACAGGAAGGAATTTATTATGGTTGAGAAGTAGGGCTGAGAGTCAGGAAGTCTCTTTCTGCTGTGCCTCCGATTTTATGTTCCAATCCTGGCCAAGTTTTTTATAACTTTGTGCTTTACCTTCCCTCCACATAAGAGCTTGTTCACTTTCACACTTGGATGTGAGGCTGTCTTAATTGCTAAATGTAGTTTGAAGCCCTTGGATGGAGAACCCTTATTAAATATAATCTTGAGATAATTACAGTGATTAGTGAATGTGACAAAAATATAGAAAGATTAAAATTTTATATTTTTAGATTAGATTTCAGCCAAGCAAAAAGATCAGTTAGGAGACTTCATTTGTTTCACCTCCATCAGTCTCTGGAAAAGTAGGTGTAGAGGAAACAGGGCGGGACATTTTGACCTCAGCTGTCTTTGGGAGCTGCCTTCTCAGCCACTCCTAAATCACTATGACTTCTGCTGGGAAGTGGCTCACTGCCATCTTAAAGTGTGGTGATGGTGTCCACCTATGCAGGTGTTGCAAAGCTGCTGTGGCACTGAAAATTGCCTTTTTTTCCCCCTAAAAATTTTTTTTATGTGGTAGGCAAGTCTTCAAGTGAGCATTATAAAACTTAGGATAAATAGAGTATTTTTATCTAGCCAGCCTAATCCCTCATGACTATTGCAGAGGCACTTAAAGACTCCTCCATGTCAGGAAACTTGTTCACTTAATGCCTGTGAAATCACACATACAAATAAAAGTTGGTTGTGTAATTGCTTAAAATGGAAAAAAACCCTCAGAATAAAACTCTGGACTTCTTCCTTCTTTTGTGTCTGAAATGCTTCTCTTTTCCCTTTAGAATTGTTTCAGTTTCCTGTATAAGAGACACAACTGCTCTTCTGCTTGTAGAAAAGGAAACAATTTCCTTCTGTATGAGTTTTCAGGCTGCTAGAGTTCTTTTTTTCCCCCTCCCTCCCTCCCTCTACTCTTGGGTTGATGAAATAAGTCTGGTTGATCTCATGGTAGGCAGGTAGAGGTTAAATAGCATGAAATCTTTTTGACCTTTAATCTGTGGATTGGTTGGTTAAAAAGGGATGGGCTAAAAAATGAAGGAAAGGATCATAGGGATTAAAAGCTTGAAAAATGGATGTTGATATTCTTCAGAGGGAAGAAAAAAGGAATGTTTATAATATTAACAAGATGATTTTCAGTGGMTAGGAATAGACTGAAAGAAATCTCTAAAATATCAGGTAGGAGGAGAAATGCCTTTAACAAGAAAAAAAATTCTTGAGTTCTTAAACTCTCTTTTACACTTTTTTGACTTTAAAAAAGT